GTTGATCTCATCAACCGTGCACATAGCCATTCTTATCAATGACAACAGATCTCATCTATTGCCTCCACATATCTAATATGCATATGATCTGAATCCAAATCCTATAGCAGAGGCTCTGATACCACTGATGGGATCTACGGTAGGGTGTGCTGACTGCAAATTAAAATTTCCTACGCGCAGAACAACCAAGAACATGCTACGGGAGATGGATCACAGTTTGTTACCACTATACGTGTAGTGCCATGCAGCGGAAGAAGAGTTGGGGCAGCGCATCCGCGTGGATTGTCTCCTCCTCGTCCGATCTCCCTCGTACAACCGGCGGTCGATCCCCACGTACAGGTTCGCCGAAGCGACGCAAGTGCACTGCCTCTAACGGTATCCGCGCGTGCAGGAGGAACGTCGTGTGGCGGACTGCTAGGTCCGATCACACAACCAGCAGCGAGTGGAGGTGTCTATTCGCAACACATGCAAACCCTAGTGACAGCGCCGAAGCGATCAGCCCATGAGTGTGCCGCACCTCCACTATATATATAGGCGTCCGTCACGGGCTCAACACTTGGGCCTCGCATGGACCCTAAAGCCCATAAGTCTACTCGGCCACAATCCGAATACAGTTCGGATCACATCCACCAGTGTCCTCGGATCCGACCTCGTAGGTTCCTTCCCTTAAGCGTGTGACCCCTTAGGTTCAAGTCGGCTTGGTCGCAGTTTGGATCACCTCCAAACTGCACGGTTGGTAGCGGCCTCTAGCAAGGCATGCCGAACACCAAGCAGACTATGAAGCTGGTCAGCGAACCTGTACATCACACTTCCATTCCTTTTGCCACACGATATATGTTGTCGAGCTCAAGGCGAGTCTGTCATCCTTGTGCTAGCCCGACCTCTTTCTCGTTCAAGCGATGCCGACCACAAACCGGATTATCTCATAATCCTTGTCGCATGGCCAATTCTTATCCTGGTCGGATCACACGAGGGGCCCATAGTATATCTCTCCCGATCGGAGGGGCAAATCACATCTTGCTCGACCATGTCTCGCAGCATGATTCTAGACAAACCCGAAACCTACCTTTATAACTACCCAGTTATGGAGTAGCGTTTGGTCGGCCCAAAGCAAGTCTGACACCATCCCGAGTACATGCGTCAGCTCAGGTCTTAGGACATAGAACATATGTTGTACTAGAGACTCACAGATGACATATCGCTGCATCTCATAGTTGGGTCTGTCCGACTTGAACCTTATCTCGACTCGGATCCGACTACGTTGAATCCGACCAGATCCTTCCAAGTCCATATTATCCGGTTAGCATTCAATGCTCCATGGCTAGTGAGACCAAGCCATCGACTGTGTCATATGCTAGTCTAGTTGGCTGCGCGTCCACACAGCCCTTTCGACTAGGGACCTTTTAGGACAGTCATCATACAGTGCATAGTCCCACAAACAAGTCAAGTACTTGCTGATACACATCATTGATAATGTCCAAGGACTATCTTTATTCATAAACACATAGGAAATATCATCATACATGATTGCCTCTAGGGCATATCTCCAACACATAAATGACTCACCGAGGGAGCTTAGATTCTTACATCCTAGTATACCATTTCTCTTCATCTCCTTGTCGCCCATTTGGGCTCTTCCTAAAACTTCTACCATCACGAAATGTACGGTTACATAGGTTTCACCATAACGGGGTGCAGAACTTCAGCTATGCGGCGAAGTTCAATCAAATAAAACTCCAATCCTCAATCTTTTGATTCCATGTCAAGTTAAACAAACAAGAAAAGAACCTTAGAACTTCACGAAAGCAAATGGAAGATACGTGAATATAAGATAATCATATCAAGGAGGTTAAAATGGTCTTGGACGTGCGAGGTGATCATCTAGAGCTAAGCATGATAACAAAGCCATAATCAACATTGCCTCCCAACGGGAAGGGCAGAGGGCTAACTTACGGTGAGAGGAGATGAACAAAGATGTGGCTTCTACCTCTTCAGAAGAAATTGCATATTATGCTAGAAAGATAATGCAAGAGGAAACAAGTCAGTAAAGAAGTGCAGAAAATTTAGGCAAAACAACATAGTCTATATGTCTACTATACCTATTGGAATGAAGAAGACAAGCTGAAGCGACTGTCTTAGCAGATTGTGCAATCAAAAGAAATACGGGACACTAAACTCAAATGTAGCATGCCAAAGGTGCTCTATTTTTTGAAGTGGATAAGTTTGACACGGCATTATCTTATTTGTAGGCTCTTACTTAATCAATGTGCATAAAAAATTAAATTACAATAAGAAATTGACTGGACAAGTGTGCATTGAAGAATTAAATTGCAATAAGCAATCCACTGGATAAATCCATGCACAACATGGATCCTTAACTGAAGTGATTATTGCTGATCTAAATCTTCAGAACAAATGTCAAGGTTGAGAAACAAACCCAAGCCAGGATTTACCGAAATCTAGAAACTCTTGCTATTCGCAATTTTTTTTACTATTCACAAAAAGCTAGCCTCAACCATAAGTTTACAATTACCAAAACATAGGCAATATTATATCATGCAATTTCAGTTCATATACCTGAAAAGTTATTCATATTTATGATCAGAATTTCAAAAATATGATTAAGGAACAACAGCTAAAATTTATCATATATACCATTGCAACAACATAATTCTTTCTGTAACATTCTTGGTTCAAAACATATTTGAGTTTTTGAATGCTCTCATTTTGCCGGTAGTGGATAATTGATAAACACAAAAGATCACATGTTCCTAACCATGATGACCGGTTTTAAAACTCATAAGAAGAGGGCATACTAATGTACGCGACCATGTAAATAATACTCTCTCCGATCCATATTAATAGACACCGATTTAATCAATGTCAATTAATATGGATCGGAGGGGGTAGTTGCTGATAGCAGCGAAAAGGTGATGCCAAAGATATAAAAGAAATGCATCATTACTTGCTTCATGGTAAAAGAAAGTGTGAACATTCTTCACCAAAAGGGGGCAACAAAATTACTCGTTCTCATAATTAATCATTATTTGGAAGAAATACTATGCAATATTGAGACACTCTAGTTCTCTGATTTTGTTTCTTCTAGGTTGCTCGTGCGGGAGCACCGCAAGTCCTCAGAACCTTGGGAATTGTATGAGCAACACAACCACAGAAATTAGGACAAAATTTCATGGCATACAATGTCTGAAAATTGTAGTCGACCCATGCTGGGAGAAATATGACTCATGCCCACGCTGCTCTGAGGGCTTGTCCATTTAATACCCGCTCATCCTAATTCGAGTCAATTTCCAATCCGCTTCAATCTCTACCAAACCGAACAAATCCTATTGGAACGTCGGATGTGTCCTGTATTGAAGATCTTTGAAAAGCCAATGGCATTATGTCTATCCACCTATGCTCTATGATGATGTGACCATTCTATGGGGTATTTGGAAGAGCCGGAATGCAAAGTATTGAGGTCGTAGTTGTGGCACATTGTCACTTGCCACATTGTCGGGGATGTCATGCCATGATGATGTAGGTATTCCCGCTCGATCTATAAAATGATCCTTGCCGCTCGGGTGGAAGGCTTCGTCTCCTCATTGTAGTACCCCACATCCATATCCTTGTGCTCATGTTGTCGTTTTCGTGTTGTTAAGAGCTTATGTTGCTAAACTTACCCACCTAGTAGCCCACACTCATGTCCCATGTCCTATGTCCACCTTGATTGTTGACCACCAAGTCGTGTTGTCTAGAGGAGGGGCAAGATGTGTAAGATGGTGCACAAATCGTCCATGGAGCGCTTGTCACCACTACACTGGTCCCACCTAGGCTTTGTCTTGAACCCCGACAAGCAGGTTCGCTGTCAATCAAGATTCGGGTGGTCCGGACATGTTGTCACACCTGTAAACCCGTAAGGACACCCTAGGTTCATGGTTCCACCCGCACCTCATCTAAGAGGGCAACCGGTAAACCTAGGTTCACCCTCACTCTAATGCATGCATCTGCCGCCAACCGTTCTTGTGCGGTGTTGGGGGTGAGGCCGCTTTTGAGGAGGGAGTACTAGGCACTCGAGGTATGCTATGGCAGACGACTTGGCTGCTATAGCGGTGTGGGGAGGACTTTGAGACTAGCAATGCAAGGAGAGGTGGATGTTAAAGAAGCCAGTAGAGAGACGACATGCTTCTACTTCAACGAGTTTATACTTTATACCGACAACCACGCCTTTCCCTAGTCCATGATCCTTCGATTGTGGTGGTATTGTAATCAAGTAAGAAGATGTTGTTTGACCATAGGGTCGGACGGGTATGTTTCTTGCAATTTTTGCGGGTGGGATGGGTATGTTTCAAATGGACCCTGGGGATTTTCTAGGCTACTCACTCTCCCTATTGGCAACAAAAAAAGGCAGGTCCTGTCAACCGGGCAATGGGCTTAAGTTTGACATCTAGAATACCAACTACTCCCTTTGTCCCACAATATAAGAACGCTTTTGACACTAGTGTGGTGTTAAAAACGTTCTTATATTGTAGGACGGAGGGAGTATATATCATTAGATGCATCATGAGATATTTTCGTACCGTTTTGACTTAAAAAATGCACTGCATTATGAAATGGAGCAGATGCATGTGTATATACTTTGGTCGGTGTGGCAGTGTGGGTTTCGAACGGGGGCTCAACCGCTCGAGTTAAAGAAAATCTAAGAAAATTGGTTTTCAGTGTCAAACTGGCCAGTTTTGACCGCCTAGTGCTACCTTCACGGGAAGAACGATCGAGCGAGAGTGAGCGACAGTAGCCGGGAGACCCGGATCGATCCCGACACAACACCCGCCGTCCGCTAGCTAGCTCGCCATGCATGCGAGCGAGCGAGCGGAGAAAATGGCCATAAGTCCCACTGACTGACACGCGGGGACCAAGCAAAGTGAACAGAACAATCCCCACAAACAGACGCGCGCGCGACGGACGGACGGCGCGCCGGAGAGGAGAGGAGAGGAGGTCGATCGATGGCGAGGAAGGTGGAGGAGGAGGAGTACGAGGAGGACGAGGGGGAGTCGATCGAGCGGGTGTTCGAGGGGCAGGAGGTGCCCGACTGGAAGGAGCAGGTGACGGCGCGGGCGCTGGCGGTGAGCGCGCTGCTGGGCTTCATGTTCAGCGTCATCGTGATGAAGCTCAACCTCACCACCGGCATCATCCCCTCCCTCAACGTCTCCGCGGGGCTCCTCGGCTTCTTCCTCCTCCACTCCTGGACCAGGCTGCTCGACAAGGCCGGCATCCCCGGCGTCAAGCCCTTCACCCGCCAGGAGAACACCGTCGTCCAGACCTGCGTCGTCGCGTGCTCCGGCATCGCCTTCAGCGGTACGTAAGCACCCGCACAGCGATTGGCAATCGATCTCCATGGATGGATCGTTTGCATTCACAAGTTTTTCCCATGCATTTCTTTGGGTTACATGGAAAGAGATGCCCGTGGCAGGGGGATTTGGGAGCTACATGTTCGGCATGAGCGAGAGGATCAGCGAGCAGTCAGGGGAGGTGAGGGACGAGGACAGCATCAAGAACCCCAGCCTGGGCTGGATGATCGGCTTCCTCTTCATCGTCAGCTTCCTGGGCCTCTTCTCTGTCGTGCCCCTCAGGAAGGCATGCACGTCTCACCACAGCACTGATCTCTACAGTCAACATTTTGATTTCACAAATGTAATCCGTTAAACATGGCCAATCGTTTGGTTGATTTGGGCTTCAGATAATGATCATCGATTACAAGCTCATCTACCCGAGCGGCACGGCCACGGCGCACCTCATCAACAGCTTCCACACTCCCCAGGGCGCAAAGCTGGCCAAGTACGTATGTTGTCCGTATCTGAATTTGTACGGTCAGTGTCTGAATTTGTACCCGGCCAATTTAATTACCGGCCGGTGGTTGGACTGGACTGGACTGGATTGCTGCTGCTGCATGCAGGCTACAGGTGAAGACGCTGGGCAAGTTTTTCGCGATGAGCTTCAGCTGGGGCTTCTTCCAGTGGTTCTACACCGGCGGCAAAGACTGCGGATTCAGCTCCTTCCCCACCTTGGGCCTCGAGGCACGCAGACAAAAGTAAGTATGCTCCTTGAGAAATACTATATGTCAGCAGCTTTTCACATTTCATACCTAGCTAGCTAGCCAAAGTGTGTAAATATTTCTTGTTGGATGGATTTGCAACAACAAAATGAATGGCCAGGTTCTACTTCGACTTCTCGGCGACGTACCTAGGTGTCGGGATGATCTGCCCCTACCTCGTCAACCTCTCCGTCCTCCTCGGAGGCATCATATCATGGGGGATCATGTGGCCTATCATCGAGCACAAGAAGGGCGACTGGTACCCCGCCGACCTAAAGCCCAGCAGCCTCCGCGGCATCGTCGGCTACCGGGTACGCACCCCTCTCTTGTCCTTGTGATTTCATCGTCCTTGCGTTGCACCAAGGATTGATATGATTGATCGTGCAGGTGTTCATCTCCATCTCCCTCATCCTCGGCGACGGCCTCTACAACTTCCTCAAGGTGCTGACCCGGACCATGACGGCGCTGGTGGCGCAGGTGCGCGGGATGATGTCGGGCCCGACCCTGCCCATCAGCGAGGCCGGGGGCGACCTGACGCCGGCGGAGACGTTCGACGACCAGCGCCGCACGGAGCTCTTCATGAAGGACCAGATCCCCAACACGCTCGCGCTGAGCGCCTACGTGATCACCGCGGTGATCTCCGTCATCACGGTGCCGCGCATCTTCCACCAGCTCAGGTGGTACCACGTGGCCACCTCCTACGTGATCGCGCCGGTGCTGGCCTTCTGCAACGCCTACGGCTGCGGCCTCACGGACTGGTCCCTCGCCACCACCTACGGCAAGCTCGCCATCTTCCTGGTGGGCGCCTGGGCCGGCGCGTCCAACGGCGGCATCATCGCCGGCCTCGCCGCGTGCGGGGTCATGATCGGCATCGTGTCCACGGCGTCCGACCTGACGCAGGACTTCAAGACGGGGTACATGACGCTGGCGTCGCCGCGGTCCATGTTCGTGAGCCAGGTGATCGGCACGGCCATGGGGTGCGTGATCGCGCCGTCCGTGTTCTGGCTCTTCTACAAGGCGTTCGGCGACATCGGCACGCCGGGGTCCGAGTACCCGTCGCCCAACGCGCTGGTGTACCGCAACATGGCGATCCTGGGGGTGCAGGGGCTGGGGTCGCTGCCCAAGCACTGCCTGGACCTCTGCATCGTCTTCTTCGTGGGCGCCATCGTGGTGAACCTGGCTCGGGACCTCGCGGGGCCAAACATCGCGCAGTTCATCCCGCTGCCGATGGCCATGGCCATCCCCTTCTACCTGGGGCCCTACTTCGGGATCGACATGTGCATCGGGAGCCTGATCCGGTTCGTGTGGGACCACGTGGACGGCGCGAGGGCCAAGGCGTTCGCGCCGCCCGTGGCGTCGGGGCTCATCTGCGGCGACGGCATCTGGACGCTGCCGCAGTCGGTGCTGGCGCTGGCCGGCGTGAGGCCGCCCATCTGCATGAAGTTCCTGCCGCGCGCCACCAACATCCAGGTGGAGGCCTTCATCAAATCTCTACCGCCGCCGCCTGGCTAAGTTCACCCACGAGCTGCCTGCGGCTGACAACACACATAAATATTTAGCATAGTAGTGACAGATACAGTAATGTACTGGTAGTAACTAGAGTGTAGGCTCGTGTTCCTCTTGCTACATTCATTCAGTAGAATCGATAGATGAGATGTTTGCATTGGAGCTGGGAAGAGTAAAGTACCACATTTGGGGTGCATGCATGCATCATGAACTATAACCTCGCTCCAGCCTAAAAGTCACAAAACTGAACTCAAGTCTGAACCTTGGGGTGGTACCTTTTTCGACTAATTCAGCTATACTGAACCTTGGGGTGATGCATTTTCGACTAATTCAGGTATACTCAGAGCATTTCTAATAGTACCCCTAAACCCTCAAAAATAACCGCCTTTTTATGGGTTGAGACAAAAAATTCCCAAAGAATAGAACCCCTTAACCTTTAAACCCTCAAAAAAATTTAGGAGGTCAACCCCTATTCTTCTTCCCAGCTTGTAGAAACAGGGGTTGGCCAGCTCAACCCCTCCCCGACCCGGTTCCATCGCCAACGACACGCGCGGGAGGGAGTTTACAGCTCCCCTTCCCCGGATCCGGCCGCACTGCCCGGCCGCCCTCCCGCTGCGACGCGCCCCGGCGCTCCATCCCCGGCCGCCCCTCCGCCTCCCCGCCCCGCCGCCTCCCTGCCCCGGCCGCGCGTCCTCCTCCCCGCCCCGGCGTCCCCTCCCGCCTCCCCTGCGCCGCCGCGGCCCGGCCGCCCTCCCGCCTCCCCTCCCGCCCTGACC